AGGGGATACCTAGAAAAGCTTAACTTGAGATTGTCGACCAAGCTTTCCTAGGAGCTTTCGCCGCCATCTTGGAAAACGCTTAAAATTTGTTTTTCGGCAATAACTCGGCTATCCGATGAGATTCGAAAAGGACATTGTCAGAAACCGCCTAAAAAACCGCCCAAAAACATTAACCCATCATAATTATTTTTTATTTTTTTTAATACATTAAGCACCCTTTCATTCTAATGGACACTTAAGCATTGAAAAATTAAATTAATAAGTCTTTTAACGTTTATTCTATAATACTATTACAACTTCCGGACGTTTTGGTGCGTGGCATGGTCTAAAACCTATCAAGTTCCATAATTTTTGCCGATAAAATCTGTACGAGGCATTACCGTACTTTATTGCTGGGAGTCCATGTATAGTGATGTTCCTGCGGCCATCATAGACAATAAAATATCGNACAATCTCAAATTAAGCTTTTCTAGGTATCCCCTACAACATATTAAAAAATTAGAAGCGCAAATTCATTTTCATTTTTGAATGTACGTAATGACTGGACTATATTTATTTCACATTTTATCGATATGTTACGGTCAAAGTGATAAATGTGGAAATTATGAATAATCGCCGGTTATTATGAATAATTACCGCATGATTTGGTAAAAGTGATTAATATGAGGTCATTTATGTGTGTATAAAACTAAATAGGCGGCTTAGGGGTGGCCCAAGGGCCACCCCCGCCGCACCTTAACCTATTTTTTACTTTAAATCAAAACATTATGTTATAGGCATCATAGAAAAGTAATATTATGCAAGAAACATTCCAAACTCATTATGCCAAATTATATTAATATATGATATCAAAACGTTTAAAAGTTTGGCTGTACACGAGCACGTACACAAGATGTTGTTCTCTTTTATGATATTTGTTAGTACTAAGGTTCAATTATTAAATAATCACTGTTAAATGTGATTAATTTATCACTTTTACCGCGACTGTCGGTAATTATTCATAATAACCGGTTATTATTAATAATTTTCAATTTATCACATTAACCGTAACAGATATATCAACGAATGTTTTACAGTTGTTTTAGGCGTTAGTTGATAGAGCAATTTTTGTAATAAGTTTAATTTGGGAGCAGCCTTATTCAGATTTTTATCTCATTTTTTTCAAAATCGAAATCGTTTATTTGTGGAACATTAGATAAAAATATTACACGTGTTGAAAATTAGGTAGTCGGTATTAAGTGAACGTCAGAATGGCGGGTGTATGATCACAGAAATGAATAAAATAAATATGATTAATTAATACCTGAGGTGTACCTTGGTGTACCTTTAGTTATTTATTTTGTACTTCTCTAAGACGGGAGCAATTGCAATTACAAAATGAGCCGCCAACCTGATATCAGGTTGGCGGGTGTATGTTGAAATTGGACGAAACAGGTAAGTTATGGTTTTCTAATATTTATCATTATTTAGTAACTGAAATGTACCTCACAAATATATTGATACGAACCAAATGCAACGAATAATTAGCGAGAAAATCGATATGAAAAATTTGATGTCCACCATTTTTTTTGATAGCCACCATTTTTTTAAACAAGTTATTTATGGTTGCAGAATCAGCATATTATTTGCATCAGTTGACAAATCAATGCCGGCGCGGGCGAAGCTGTCAAAACACGGTCATTCTAAACAATTCTAAATTTGTTTAGTATCCATAATAAAATAATCCAATCCAAATGTACCTATCATGCAAAATAATTTAATCATAAATTGATACCGTCACAGATAATATATACCTATAGATGACCCACGCTGAACTGTCCCGCCAAACTCAATGACAGGGGGGCGCTACCATCGTTCAACTTTATGGTTTCCAACATGGCAAAAATCGGAACCAGCGATTCGGTATTGACGGTGGCGCCCCGCTTTCAATGTCATCGATAGGACAGTTCAGTATTTTGGAACTATACCGTAGTATTTTTAAAATCTATTTTTTTTATGGCATGCACACTAGTGCATTTTTGCCAATGCCATTTGCTAAAATCAAAGTTTTGATAGTAATTAGTAGTGCCCTCTATCATAATTAAGGTTGTCCAACGTGGCAAAAATCGAAACTAATAGTCCAGTATTGATAGGAGCGCCGAGCGCCCTCTTGAACATAATAAGTTATTACAATCATTCAAGGAAATTCGCCAATCAAGTTTGCGATTTGTTTCCATGTGAAATCATGGAACCTACTTAGATTAATAAAACCTAGATAGATAGTCAGTGCACGAAAGGTGAGGCAGATTTTAGTGAGCCAGAATGGCTTACTCGTAAACGTCACATGAACTGTCAAAGTGAAAAATTGGTAAACACGTCCGACGACTTTTAATTAATTAAGACGGTTTGTGCTGTGAAAGGGTGTCTAAATACATCAGAAAATCTAAAGAAAGTGACCAGCAGGGTGTGGAAACTTCCATACAACGGTCATCGAAGTGAAACTTGCTTCCAAACAGCGACATCGGTGAATAAATTCAAATACTTTTTAACTTCCCTAAAACGCTCTAGATGTCGCTGCTCCTGTTTTCTTCAATTTTCATTTTTTTCTTAATTAAAATATATTTGAGAATATTATTGTTAATTACAATGTGAAAACTTTTTTAAATGAAATTAATTTGTTTTAATTTAAAACTGACATTTTTGTTGTAATAGAGTAGTAGAAATTACTATTTAACATATGGCAACTTTGTTTTTCCTCCAAAATGGCCGGTGTTGTTTTTGTTATGTTAAATGCATTCTTGTTTTCTTAGCCATCATTTAAGTTTTCTGTGGCCCTATTAAAGTATTGAAGAGTCGTCGAGTCAAATTCAAGTTAAATCCTTCGTACCTGCTGCTGTTCTGGTTCATCGGAGTTTTGTTTGTTCCTTCGTGAATCGCGAAGAAACTTTCTGTTATGTTCACAAGTGATCTGAGTTTTCTCAATGTGCAAATGCTTTTTTAGTGTTGTTGAAAACTTTGCGAAAAGACGCTTTTGGTGTATAATATTATGTGTGTTCATAAATAAAGTAAAATTATTAAATTCAAAAGTTTTTGTTTACTTATTTGCATTTCCATGTGCAATGTAGAATTTTTCCAAATCCATTGTTTTGAAAATAATACAATACGTACACCATAAAGATAAATATTTTCAAAATAATGGATTTGTAAAAATTCTACATTGTACATCATAAAAACAATAATTCTTTGAAGGTTATGAGGGCCTATGTGTGCGTGAACTGTGTGTATGTGTGCGTGGACATTATGTATGTATGTGTGCGTGTACTATGTATGTATATGAGCGTTACGTACGTAGGTTAAGTACAGGGAATTTAACACCAGGCTGTCAATTAGTAGGCTCAAAAATTTGACAGAGAGGGTTCTCTATTTCCTATGTACATATTACTTTTCTCTATGGTTAAAGTTTTCGGCGGTTACCATGGCAATCGCAATTTTGCTAGCAAATTCTAACAACGCTATTTTCGGCTGAACGCAGCCATTAACATTGCAATTTTATTTTAAAGAGATCGCTAATTCCGATTTTTGCCACGTTGGAAAACCCTGAAAAAAGTCATTTGCAGGAGGGCGCTGCCATCAATGCCGGGTACTATCCGATCTTTGCCATTTCGTTTTCAAATCGTTCAACATTGAATAAACCCGTGGGTCTATCAATACTGGAGAGAGGGCACTACTAATTACTATCAAAACTTTTTGATTTTAGCAAATGGCATTGGCAAATGCACTAGTGTGCATGCACTAAAAAAAAATAGATTTTAAAAATACTACGGTAGGTATATATTATCTGTGACAGTATCAATTTATGATTAAATTATTTTGCATGATAAATTTGGATTGGATTATTGTTTAAGGATACTAAACAAATTTAGAATGACCGTGTTTTGACAGCTTCGCCCGCGCCGGCATTGATTTTTCAACTGATGCAAAGCTGATTTTGCAACCATTAATAACTTGTTTAAAAAAAATGGTGGCTATCAAAAAAATGGTGGACATCAAATTTTTCATATCGATTTTCTCGCTAATTATTCGTTGCATTTGGTTCGTATCAATATATTTGTGAGGTACATTTCAGGTACTAAATAATGATAAATATTAGAAAACCATAACTTACCTGTTTCGTCCAATTTCAACATACACCCGCCAACCTGATATCAGGTTGGCGGCTCATTTTGTAATTGCAATTGCTCCCGTCTTAGAGAAGTACAAAATAAATAACTAAAGGTACACCAAGGTACACCTCAGGTATTAATTAATCATATTTATTTTATTCATTTCTGTGATCATACACCCGCCATTCTGACGTTCACGGTATTAAGTTTGATATTAGCAAAAAAACAACTGCAGGTAATTCCTGAATTTAACTGATCATAATGTACAGGTACGTGCCTACTTATAATACGTAATATCACTTTCACGATGAAGGAACTCTTTATCTACTATAAGTACCTAGTTAAAGTAGCGTCCAAAATTGTCGTCTAAATTACTGCATTTATTCAATATTTGTTTAGCTCGAAATACCCAAGTGAATCAGTACCCAAGCCAGGTCTAGCTAGTTTCCATCGCATACCTACCTAAACCGATTATGGTTGACTTTTGTATCTAAATAGATATTTGGACTAAATAAACAAAAACTTTCTTTCTTACTTTCTTTAAATTGCTGCACGGCAGCTGGTCTGAAGTAAATGCTCTGAATATGATATGAAATATATTGTATATTTGCGATTTACCATCTCTTCTCACATTCGGGATAGAATGGTAAGATTTACTAATTTGTTGATTTAATCAAGTAATTTATCGTGGCAACTTTATCAGTTGCACAAATTCACTTTGATTATTTTGTAAAAGTTTTTAATAATATTTGCCGTAGGTATTCTAAAATCAAAGTAAATCAATCAAATCCATATCATCATTAGTGTAATTAATCTGGCACTATCGTCTACATCAACCTTATAAATAAGCTAATGTCTTTGGTTATGCACTGCAATTGCTCTCCGTCATTATGAAGTTCCTGGTCGTTCTTTTGGCAGTGGCCTCCTTGGCCCATGGCAAAGTTGTCCCCGACAACCATACTGCCTTTGGATACCTGAAGAAATCCATCGTCGAGGCTGAAAAGATCCGCGTGAGGGAGGAGCAGTACTTGCAGCAGCAGAGGATCGTCGGAGGCCAGCCCGCTAACTTGGGTCAGGTGCCCTTCCAGGTAACTATAGAAATTAACTCAAAAACCTAATGCAGTTAAGAAAAACGCGTAGATACTTAAAATATTAACGTAGTTACCTTCACAAAAAATCAATCAATAAGATAAAACAAAGAGAAAAATAAAAGTCAATACTTATTGTGTATTTCTTTAATCTTGACCAACAAAAAAAATAACAGGACTTATTTCATATTTTAAAGTTTAGTTTAGTTAAATATTAGTCAAAGATTTCAGGAGATTAGTTATTACATTCCTAGTCAATAAGTTATCAGAAAACGTAATGAAGTGATAAAACTGATTTAACTCGTCGTTACTATCTACGTTTACTTATGACCAAGAATTAAATTAGGTACATTTAGGTAAGTATTTTAATGATGGCCGCTGGGGCAGGAAAGTTCTTGAGTGGCGACCACGAGCCGGAAGACGTAGCATGGGCAGGCCTCCCACTAGGTGGACCGACTATCTGGTAAAGGTCGCGGGAGGTGCCTGGATGCTAGCGGCGCAGGATCGGTCTTCGTGGAAATCCTTGGGGGAGGTCTTTGTCCAGCAGTGGACGTCTTTCGGCTGAAACGAACGAACGAAGTATTTTAATGTCCATCTAATGTAATAATCATTATTTTTCTTTTCGTAGGCTGGTATGCTTATTAACATCATCGGTTTCGAAGGCAGAGCCGTGTGCGGTGCTGTCCTAATCAGCGCGGACCGCTTGGTCTCCGCCGCCCACTGCTGGTCTGACGGTCAGCACCAGGCCTGGAGGGTCGAGGTCGTCCTCGGCTCTGTGACTCTCTTCACCGGTGGCAACAGGCAGTTCACCAGCGTCTTCATCAACCACCCCAGCTGGTTCCCTCTGTTAGTCCGTAACGACATCGGTGTGATCTACCTGCCTACCAGCGTTTCGTTCAGCAGTAAGTGTTTTACTATTCGACGTGTTCTAGTGGTCATAGAAATGCACCTGAAAGTCCTAGGTTCTATTCCAATAAAGTGCTAACTTTCTCCGGGTGGAAAATCATAGTTCGAATTCAACGATAGACTTTTAAATTAAGATTAAAATTAGTTATTATGATTACATAATGGAGGCATAAAAATATTCATACGAAATACTTGTGACCTATGAATGTCATGCATTTATAAATGCTTCTATGGGTGCACGCACAGGTGTCACATAGTAAGATAAGCTATAGATACGAGTAGTTTCTTATCATTTAAGTAAGTACAGATTATCTTGTTGATAAAAATACTGTTTTAAAATTAGTGTCTGATAGGTAATTTTAAAAGGAGTGAAAAGTATGAGTATTCTCAAAGATGCAATGCAAAACCAAGTTTATTGTTTTAACTATATGATATTTGAGCTCTTCTGACCACTGATGGATTTCTTGCTAGTAATTTCTCCAAAAAACTCTATAAATCGTTTTCAAATGTTTTCATGTCTTTAGACAACTTTAACTTTAACAACGAGTTGTATAAATAATTTTTAAGATAAATGTAGGAACCATATTTTATTATCCTACTAATTTTCAATGAAGTCTTCTGCATAGACTGAAGAAATAAAATCAAGCGTCATCACAAACTCTTCAATTATTCTTCTTCCAGACACCATTGCCCCCGTGTCCCTGCCCCAGGGTGCTGAGCTACAGGAGGACTTCGCTGGTGCATCCGCTATTGCTTCAGGCTTCGGGCTCACCGTTGACGGTAAATAAAATAAAATAATAATTTGCCTCTTGTATACGTTTACAGAGATCGCAGTGTTGAAACTTGATGACAATACAATTAAAAAGTGGAGCCCTCTCGTCTCGCTATTAAAAGTCAAATTAAGTAACGTTGACTTCAGAAATGCTGTTCAATTTCCGTTTCGATAGTTTTTTATTTACAACATTGCTTAATTTAATGCAAACCATGCGGCAGAACAATGGACCAAGTGTACACCTACTTACTCGCCATTATGCGATATTTGATTGGCACCATCAACTTATTAAAGCTCTGCTCTCTTACATAACGAACGGTAATCTGTAATTTGGCGTCAACCTGTCACTTGTTTGAAGTCTTGGAAATAGTCAAATACCATGCAATTTTCAGGCGGTTCCATTAGCTCCAACCAGTTACTGAGCCAAGTCAGGTTGAACGTTCTCAGCAACAGCGTGTGCAGACTGGGCTTCCCGCTGATCCTGCAAGACAGCAACATCTGCACCAGCGGCATCGGTGGCGTCGGCACCTGCAGTGGTGACTCTGGTGGCCCTCTTTACATTACCAGGGGCAACAGGAATGTCCTGGTAAGATCTCTTTGATATATTTTCTATCCACTTTAGAATTGTTCGTAAGCGGATCACCGTGACGTCAGATGTGAAATCTTTAGAGAATCATCATTTATATTTCGGTGTGATCTTTCCAGATTGGTGTGACCTCCTTCGGTATTGCCCTGGGCTGCCAGGTGAACTTCCCTGCTGCGTACGCGCGTGTCACCTCCTTCATGCCGTTCATCAACCAGCACCTATAAACAACATCTTAATTCTTAAGTGATGACAAAATAACACCAAATAGTCATAATAACTATACTGACTACCTATACCAATAAACAATTAAGTTGAACATTTCAGTGTTACTTATTTATTGCTTTAATGAATAGCATTTTTTTCCCTGAGATCCTTTGTACCTTGTACATACTTGATATAGTAAAACAACGAGAAAAGTGATGTTTTGCAGCTATTTTTAGGTGTTAGTTGATAAACAAGTACCTACTTACTCTAGCTTTCAGTAGCATTAACTATGATTAACAATAAGTTTAATTTATAAGCAGCCTTATTTAGATTTTTATCTTTAAATGATTTATGGAGCTAATCTTACGTTGTTACGCTACATATTATTATGACCACAAATTTCTTAGAGATTTAGATTCTTCTAATTTATTGTCGATTATCATTCATTCATTCTTTTCTTACAAATAAAAAGAATTATCTGTATATTAANTTCTATTATTTTATACTATTTGGCTGCGACTCGGCGTGACGACAATACAAAACATTTTTCGCGAATCGGTGTTCATACATTCACACAATACATTAGACGCCATGTTGTCATAAACGACATATTATAAAATCGCTGTGATTTAATATTCTTAATCATTAATTTTATGGCAAGTGTCCATCAGGAATCATTGTTCTTACACACAGAATCGTATTATTTCGCTTTCGGGTAGTAATATGTCAAAATTGTTGGTTCTTTAGGCGAACAATGTATGGAGAACGAACATTGTCCTTTATACAGTATGTTCACCTTATTTGTTATTTAAAGGACAAGACTTACCTTTATACCTTGGAATATATGTTATGTCATAAGTAAATGAACATCCCTAAAAATTTTGGACCCCCAATTCAACTTCAAATTATTTTCACTAAGCGGAAACTACTTCCATGAACTCTACTTTGGGCTGCAAGAGTCAGTCAGGCTGGCTGATAGCAGATATTCATGAGTTAGTACTGCCGGGTCTTATAATAAACTATTGAATTAATGCTTTGAGGAACAATGTAATGACTTTGACGTTCATTTTGGCTATAAGTCCATTTCACTGCTATGCTCGCCAGTGGGTACTATCTACAATCAGCCCAAAGCAAAAGTGACTTTATCAGAAATTGCACCAATAAAAGCCCTAACAGATAATCGGGTCCAAAATACAAACTGTGTAGGTACAATAATAAAATATCATTCATAAAACCCCGCATTATCTCAAATAGAAACCTATAAATATCGATACTTTTATGGAAACTAGTTGCGTTCTCTCAACTCGGTGACATGAAGTACCTAGTGGTCTTACTCTCCGCAATAACAGCCATATATGCCATGGACTTGGCACGGCTGGCGCCGGAGGGTGCCTCTGTTTATGGGTATCTGACCAATATTGGCATACCAGAGGCAGAAAGACTACAGAAAGCTGAAAAACAATATTTGGCTGCCGAAAGTGGAGCAAGAATCATAAATGGTCAGCCTTCTCAGCTTGGTTTTTTACCGTATCAGGTAAGATGATTTTGTACGCATTCTTTAATGTTTTCCTACGAGCAGAATTTCACATAAAATTGTATTGATTTATTTATTTTGTGACAACATCTTATGTATTTTTGTCGCAAAGTTTGCGCAATATCCTTCAGATCAATCGTCACAGTGTACTGGAATCAACTTCTTTATGGTAGCTGTTCCGTTATAATGTTCATTTTCTGGTTCATGATCCAGAAATTTTACAATTTTACAATTATTTTCCATAACTTTTTTTTTTGCCAGGCGGGTCTCGTGGTGTCAATTGTTGGTGTAGTGGGCGTGTCTCTGTGCGGAGGGGCGCTCGTCAGCAACAATCGCGTGTTGACCGCCGCGCACTGCTGGTTCGACGGCACCAACCAGGCATCCATGTTCACCGTAGTGCTGGGCTCTGTCACCGTTTTCAGTGGAGGCACCAGAATCGATACCTCGTCGGTGGTATCTCACCCCGAATTCAGCGTGAACCCCGCTCGCAACGATATTGCCGTCATCTATTTGCCTCAAAGAGTCTCTACGACCTGTAAGTACTTAATTAAAATATAAGTTTTTTCATTTCTAACATTTATTTGATCCCAAAACTTTACTTGGAAGGGATGTCAACTGCATTGAGGGTTTTCGCGATTGAAAAATCCGCCAGATGGCAATACGTAGACGGCAGGTCCAAATGCTGCATGATTGGTGGATTTTGTCATATCTGTCAATGTCATGTCAAAAATTACCAATCATGCAGCATTTGGACCTCGCGTCTACGTATTGCCATCTGGCGGATTTTTCAATCGCGAAAACCCTCATTAGGTTTTACTTACTTATGTTACGACAGACAGCAAGAACGGTAGAAGTAAAAGCTCAGCAGAAGATTCGGGCTTAAATCCCAAAAAGGGCAAGTTTTAATTGTTTCATGACATTATCAAAAAATTAAACAATAAGTACAATCAACTTAAAAAGCTAAATACATTGTACCAAATTGGTCTCTGCTCAGTATGTCAGTATTTCGTAGTTGTTTATTTTTATAATCTGATTGCTTTATCAATAAAAAAGTTAAATCCTGCAATAAAAACAGACGTATTATTCCATTGACGAAAACCAAATCAAGTGCATAAAAACTTTATTGATAATTGTTGCTATAATAAATACGTTTGATTTTGCAGCGATCATCGCCCCTATAGCTCTACCGTCTGGGACAGAACTATATGAAAGTTTCAGTGGCAACTCTGCTATTGCTTCTGGATTCGGAATGACTAGTCAATGTAAGTAATTGAAAATATATCTCATACTAGTGTCTTTTCCAACAAGAAATTGAGTTATTTTAGCTACTGTTAAAAACGGTAAAAGATACTACTTACTACCGGACTCTGACACGCGGTACGCGATTTAAATACCGATCTCATTATTTCGTCAGGGTCGTTTAGCGAATATTGAATTACGTTATCTTCTTTTTGTCCGTTAAAAAGACGCCTCTACATGGGGTTTCGTAAGTAGGTAGTTTCCTAATTTTTTTTTTTTTTTTTTTTTTTTTTTTTTAATCTTTGGACAATTTCACACAGCGCCAGCTAGCCCCAAAGTAAGCAACTTAATGCTTGTGTTATGGGTGCTAGCTTAACGGATATACTACTTATATACTTAACTTTTATATGTGATTCTTTAACTTTTTGATGTGATACTTAACTTTTTTCTCTTTATTTTCCAGCTGGTAGCTTAACCCTCGACCAGTTCCTGAACTACGTTACTCTTCCAGTCATCTCCAACATGGAATGCTTGACAACCTATCCCTCAACTCTTCAAACCACCAACATCTGTACCGATGGGGAGGGACCCAGAGGCACCTGTCATGGTGATTCTGGAGGCCCCTTAGCACTTTTCAGGAACAACAGATGGATTTTGGTTAGTATTTAGGGTTCCATAATATAAAAAAACGTACTCTTATGTACTACTAGCTTTCCGCCCGCGGCTTCGCCCGCGTGGATTTTTGTCTGTCACAGAAAAACTTTATCGCGCGCGTCCCTGTTTCAAAAACCGGGATAAAAACTATCCTATGTTCTTTCCCGGGACTCAAACTATCTCTATGCCAAATTTCATCAAAATCGGTTGCGAGGTTTAAGCGGGAAAGCGTAACAGACAGACAGACAGACAGACAGACAGACAGACAGAGTTACTTTCGCATTTATAATATTAGTTGGGATAAAATCACTGGTATAGGTATTAATTTTCTCTAACACTACCACCTTGAACGATTGTTAGTTAGTATGGTAACTAACAACTAATGTAACTTTGTGATTTTCCTTTAGATTGGGCTGAGTTCATTTGGATCCCGCGAGGGCTGCGAAGCAGGCTTGCCAACGGTCTTCACCAGGGTCACCTCTTACATGACCTTTATTTATCAAAACCTCTGAAGCGCGTTACCTATAATGTACCTACCTGTACACTTCTGAATATTAAGACTTTGAGCCAAATGACTGATTTTAATTATTATTATTAGTATCTCATTGTTTTGTTTTAGTTTAGATAATATTATGTACGTATTTTACTTATTAATAAATAATATTGTTTATTATTTAATAAAATAATATTGATAAATTTCATTTTTCCTCTTTTATTAATGATTATTTTTTTATTTTGGATCTGTATAATATGTACCTACTATCGGCCACAGTTCCAGCTTCCCATTTCCGTTTTTCCTCTCGCTCTCATCAAAATAATTCTTTGCGATAGAACGAGACATGGCCAAAAAATTGGTAGGTACGACAGACATGGCCAAATGGCAAAAAACGAAACCCTTATAAATTCGTCATGTCTGTCTGTCTGTCCGTCCGTATGTCACAGCCACTTTTTTCCGAAACTAATAAGAGCTATTAGTAGTATAGTAAGTGTTAAATAGATATTTAAGTAGATAAGGATCAATTAATGAAATAATGAACAATAAATGACTGATAAGTAGATGATAACCTCCCCATTCCCCTAAGTTTCAGTAAAAATCTGGCACGTTACTAAAACCACTAAAACACGGTACTAAAACCTCAAGCGGATATATGTACTTAACTTGAAGTGATTTTTTACTGTTATGTTTCATTTGCCTTCACTCGTTGACGTTCACGAACGCTAATTAAATATAATCAGTCATTTTATAAAATAAAACAGAGCCCCGATAACGGTAACTTTTAACGTCTACAATCCAGACACTCTTCTCGATTCTGCGATACGATTGGTCAAAACAGCTGACGAACGACCAATCGTATCGCAGAATCGAAAAGCGTGTCTGGATTGTAGACGTTAAAAATTACCGTAATCGGGGCTCTGAAATTCTTACACACATTTTGTAAAGCCAAAAAAAGGAAAAAAAAAAACTTACACATTTCACTTTCCCGCCAAGTCATATAAATCCTTAAGTTTTTTTTTTTCACTCGCAAGGCTATATCTCAATAGTGCTTTGATTAAATGATTAGGTGTAAAAGTGAGAAAACGAGATTATAGGTAACAAAATTAACTACTTAGAATTACATTACTCATTAAGTTGTGTTTTTGTATAAAGTTGAATAGCTTTGTTGTATTGTTTCGAAATGGTTTCGAAAAAGACTTTGAAAAAATATTTTTCGTAAAACGGAACGTGCGTGACAAAGCTTATTTTGTTTGACATTCGTTTGACGTTTTAAAAATTCGGGTCTGTGTCGGACACCATTCGCAGTTTTATTGAATTTCATTGTAATAAAAATATTGATTGAAAATGGAGGAAATTGGCATCATATTGCCTGAAAAGGTATGTTTCAATTGCTCATTCACGATCCACAAGAAAACTGTCATGTGTTCTATGTTTTGCATCCATTGTTACAGGATGACCAAGCAACCGACGCAAAGGGTCTTGCTTTTGCTGGTCCACAATCGTTTGATGAACTCGAATCTGAAGATTTATACACTAAATACAAGGTATGTCAATAGTTCCACAATTCAAGAACTAAATGTAACCTAAATAAAGTTAATGCTAACATGATCAGGCAATTACTAAACAACACATCTCTCATACAGAAATTGCAACGCATGCTGGAGTTCTTGGAAGTGCAAGAAGAGTACATCAAAGACGAACAAAGGAACCTCAAGAAGGAATATTTGCATGCGCAAGAGGAAGTGAAGCGTATTCAGTCTGTCCCATTAGTCATTGGACAGTTCTTGGAGGCTGTTGATCAAAATACTGGAATAGGTGAGTGATTAAGCTTTCTGTGCTCTTTTTATGAACATAAAATCATTTATTTCTATTTAGAACACAACATGAGTGGGGCCGTTCAAGTATTACGTAAGCAGAATTCTTACCATTTTTTACCCCCCCGCCCCCCATGTCATCAAAAGTAAGCATTCACTTACCCCCTCCCCCTATGCTTACGTAAACATTTTCAGTTATAAATGTTTTTTATATTGTCATTTTTAAAATAGGAAAATTCATGAAAATATTAGGTTTAACTGATACACATAGAGTAAGGGACAAAAAAATATTATCAGAAATAAAGAACATAACAAACATAATTGCATCAATTTATGCATCAACATAAACACAAATGGTAACTTTCAGTGCTTACAATACGTTTAGTACCCAAACAAAACGCGCGCGGGAGGCCGGCCTCGCGTATAATAATATGCGGACTACGACTCAAATTTCAATGGGCAGTGTCGGCACGAGAGTTAATTATTAGACAAGTGAACAGCGCACGGTAATTTCCCTAATGTGCGGTAATTCCCCTATCGTTTCAGCCAAATGACGTCCACTGCTGGACAAAGGCCTCCCCCAAGGTTTTCCACAATGAACGGTCCTGCGTTGCCCGCATCCAGGCTCTTCCCGCGACCTTTACCAGATCGTCGGTCCACCTAGTAGGAGGCCTGCCCACGCTACGTTTTCCAGCCCANTCCCCACACAGCACTTCCCCTAATCAGTTCTCAAAGCGATTTGCGGGAATCCCGGAAAAAACGTAAATAACTAACGATGACGTAATCATCATCTAGACCCCCCTACCCCCCATGTCATCCAAAATAAGCAAAACAGAGACCCCCCACCCCCCCTTGGTGCTTACGTAATACTTGAACGGCCCCAGTGCAAAAAGGATAGAATTTGGTTATCTATAGTAATTTTTAGACTGTTGATATTAGAGGAACTGTGGTAGATATCCAAAATCCAAATCTAAGTCATTGGCATTAAAAAGAACAACAAATACCACTATAGACACAATGACCTAGCATAATAAAAAATTATGTGTATTTAATTATCTTAATAATTTTCCAGTGGGCAGCACCACAGGATCGAACTACTATGTGCGCATCTTGTCCACGATTGACCGCGAGCTGCTGAAGCCGTCCGCGTCAGTGGCGCTCCACAAGCACTCCAATGCACTAGTAGACGTCCTCCCTCCGGAAGCCGATAGCTCAATTTCTATGCTGCAAGCAGGTAAATAACACTATATTTTAAAGTATGTAGTTTCTTTTTATTTTATTTCATCTTAAATTAGGCCTACTTTTTATGGTTTCTTCCTGTAAACGTTTTAGATAATTTAAAAATAAAGATTGCTTTTACTTTATCTGAACTGAAACTGATTAAACTGGCCCTAAATCTATATCAATTATTTCAAAATGTTTTTTCTTAGTGAAAACAAGTCCTTTGTTATCTTTTATTTATTTATCGATGGTTATTTTTTTAAAAGCCACTTCAATTTAAATACACCATTAAAATTATGACTGACAATACAAATCCCCAAAATAATGTTTTTTTTATTTTTAAGATTAACTAATGTAACAAAAATATCTACTTTCACAGATGAGAAGCCCGATGTGCAATACTCAGACATTGGTGGTATGGACACTCAGAAGCAAGAAATCAGGGAAGCCGTGGAACTGCCTCTGACCCACGTGGAACTGTACAGACAGATCGGTATTGAGCCTCCGCGAGGTGTGCTCATGTTCGGACCTCCTGGTTGTGGAAAAACTATGTTGGCGAAGGCTGTGGCGCATCATACTACAGGTTATTATACTTAAAATTCACATTATCATCCAATTTAAAACTTTACAAAATTATTTACTAAATTTTACAAAATTACCTTTTGTAAAGGTGTCTTTTTCAGATGATAGAGTTAATAATAGCTGCTGCAAAGATATACTACTACCCTTCGTCGTTACAGCCAAATGACGTCCACTGCTGGACAAAGCCCTCCCCCAAGGATTTCCACAACGACGAACGAATCCTGCACTGCCCGCATCCACTACTACCCTTCACTCCTTCCAAAACCCTTCCCTCCGCTTATCTTGTGGTCTTGAAAAGCCTCTTGTGTGCTTTAGAAAAGCCTTACAGAAAATACATACATTTATTATTTTATACACTGTTTTGAGCAGTGATCTCTCTATTGAACAGTGGGTCTTTCCTGCCATATCAATAATATACTAATTTTTGAGTTATGTAGTGGTACTCATGATTGCTTGTTTACAGCGGCCTTCATCCGTGTGGTGGGCTCTGAGTTCGTGCAAAAGTACCTGGGCGAGGGCCCGCGGATGGTACGTGACGTGTTCCGTCTAGCTAAAGAGAACAGCCCCGCCATCATCTTCATTGATGAAATTGATGCTATTGCAACTAAACGGTAAGCCGAAGAAGATTTACGCCATTAGTCTTTAGGACTCGGAAAGTCTAGTTGACTTGAGTTGAATTGTTTTTCTTGTTAATATACTAGATCAGTAAAAAAACTACTTACTCCCTTATTTTCTGTTGCATGCTTCTCCTTTGCAGTCTAATAATCTGTATGTCTTTTGAGTTCATATTATCGTGTGTTTCTTGCAAACAAGTCCTAAATATTTTTTTACAATTTCAGATTTGATGCCCAAACTGGTGCTGACAGGGAAGTCCAGAGAATCCTACTGGAACTCTTGAACCAGATGGATGGGTTTGATCAGACCACCAATGTAAAAGTAAGTAATAATATTCTGCAGCTTGAATTTACATTTTGAAAATGAAATAATATCTTCACCTTTTTTGTGCACTTACATGAAATTAAAACTGTACTTATACTTTTTAGGTAATAATGGCGACAAATCGAGCTGACACTCTCGACCCTGCCCTGCTGAGACCTGGTCGTCTGGATAGAAAAATTGAGTTCCCACTTCCAGACAGGTAAGATCAACATCCTATCTCATGTAAATAAATTACCAACGGATTGTCATAATGACTGTTCATAAATTTTTGTAGATGAATTTTTAGTTTACTGCACAAAAGTCTAAAAAAAGATAAATCTATTCCAATTTTCGATAATTTTCTGTACTTATACATTTTCCAAAACATCAATTTATGTCATTCTAGTCCAGTCAATAGGTATTTTGTCGTACAAAATGTCGAAAGTAAAATGTTTTAATTTGTATTAAGTTTTTCGACCTCGATGGCTATTAGGCGAGGCGA